TATGATAGACATTAATACGTCTAAAAACATAAAACTTCAAAAATAATATGAATACGTCTACGATATAACCTCTACAAATACACAGCAACGCATAGACCACAACAACAGCTGGGCGTGGCAAATGGTGTGACGTAGTTTGCGGGCAGGTTGTCACAACAATGGATGTAGCAGTCCTGTTAGATTCTACTGTCCTTGGATTAGACAACTTATCGTAATCATAGTAACGACTTAATTATTATAAAAACAAATTTAAATTGATGATGTTAACAATATCAATATCCGGCAACCAGTCGTACACCTCTGGTTGTCGTTATCACCCATGTGTGTAAGGGGTTTGAACACATGGCTGAACGCGCGTTAGCGCTCATGAAGCACACACCTCGTGAGAGCGTACCCGGGCCAAGGTTGATGAGCAGCTTTGCTCCACCTTGGTACGGAGGGGCCAGCGAGTGAGTGGCATCGTTGAGCGGCACCTGACAGGGGCGAACCCGCACTGGGCCTGTGCCATAGCACGCCCGGTGAGGGGGGTCGGTCAGGAAGCGGAATCAGCCAGAATTCGAGTTAAGCTCGCGTTTAACATCTCAGACCTCTTAGAGGAGGATGTACAAGGGGCCCGTTGGGGCCTAGGTGCCGCGTATAGTATACGCACTCCCCGTAACATACATACATACATACATACAACAATATCAACTTATGAAACTAAATCTTTGAATATCTCGAAAATGGTCCATTTTCGGACCTATGTTTATTAGGCTTTTTTTGTTTATTTTTGATCATAGAATACGCTGATGCAGTTTTGTACAATCGTTGCGGGGCACTCTGTATATTAAAGTACCCTTAAAATTCACTAAAGAATCAACCCTTGAAGTTTGTAAAAAATCCCTTGTTGCAGTCATTTAGATACACCTGTATATGTTGTCCGAGATATCAGGAACCGATAAACCACGGCCATTGACTTCGCGACGACGAAATGTGTATACATGTTGGGGATGACGCTTGGTTTGTATTTTTAACAAATGCATAAAGTTGATTATGAAATTGGGCCTATATTTCTGGTATATTTTATATACAGGGATGATTTATAACATACAGAGCAGACTAAAAGGGTAGATACTTGGGGTTAAACTGAAAAGATTTTGTTAATAATGTTTTGTTAAAAACTTAATAGTTAAATAGATATCGCATGTTAATTTTTTTACCGGTTTCAGGCTGTAAGAAAGTTCTTAACATTCACAAAAGTTGGTTTGTAATGAACCTTATAACTGTATTAAGAATGTAAAAATGACATATCGGTAATGTAAAAATGACATATTGGTAATGTTATATTTTTACAATACAGGAAAAGAAACTACATATTTAATAAACCTTAATTATGAAAATTTTAAGTAACAATGGAACAGAAACCTAATGCTATTTTTAATAATAGTAATTATTTATGTTCACCATGCAATTAAAACAACCCGAAAAAGTGTGATGCATTAGTTAGTTTAGGTAAATTAACGTCAATCATTTTACAAATTAATGAAGTTTAAAAAAATAAAATATTTGTTGACAAATAGAGATAGAGTCTTAGATGTCTTAAAATCCTCGCTCTTCGAGCTCGGATTTCAATCTGACATCTGCGGCTGTAATAAATGTCATAACATTTCTCGGTATGTTAATAGCTATAAATAAGTTATCGTCCATTTTTGAGAACCACAGATATTCAGTAAAGAACAATTAAAATACTTGTTAAATGACATGTCCGCTGCTAGGTAACCAAATCAATGGATTGGCAGCAATAAAAACATGGTATCAGCGGTTCTCAACAAACAAACGCCAGTTTTTGAGCGATTTAACAAATTTTTAAATAGCCGTAACTGCCATATTACAAAGATTTTATTATTGGTGCTAATTATGCATTGTTTAAGTAACCCCGAAATATTCGCAGTTCGTATCGTAAGAAATGCTCGGCCATTAATACAACTTTAACGTTCTATATTTTTGTGATTATTACGTTGTAGTCAAAACATTATTAAGAAAATATCTTCAGTTTGGCCCCTAGTACCTACCCTTTTAATCTGCTCTGTATGTTATAAATCATCCTGTATACAGGGTGATTGTACCGCACATAGAAAGAATGACTTATATTTTATGTTGACATAACCAACAAGGACGAAAGCCTCCGAAGATGGCGTAGATCGCCGAAACGCGTCAGGCAGAGTTTTAAATTATTTATCAATAAAAGCATAAACACATACATAACTTTTTCATAAGTATTTTAATTGTTCTTTAGTGAATATCAGTGGTTCTCAAAAGTTGACGCTAACTTATTTAAAAAATTGACATGCGATATCTATGTAACTATTAAGATTTTAACAAAACATTATTAAGAAAATCTCTTCAGTTTGACCTCAAGTACCTACCCATTTAGTCTCCTCCGTATGTTATAAATCACCCTGTATATATTTAATATTTTCATCAGACGATGATTTTGTTTAAATTTATATTATTTGTATAAGTGTGTAAATATCCTCCATATAGTTCTTGTACATAGCACATACTAACACAAATTTGTAGTTAATTATAAAAAGATAATTTCTCTTTTGTACATTTCTTTTAATTGTTGTTGTTTTGCACAAAAGGACGAGGCCGTAGAAGGAGCGTTAAGGGACGTGGGACTATTTTAATTCTTAACATAATTTAAATCTAACTTTTTGTTTGTTCTAACATATTTTTGTTAAACATAATCGTAAGACTAACATAATCTAAAAAGTAGTATTTTATAAAAAGAATTAACTCTTAGTGCACATTATTTTTTGTGGATCTTTTGTAATATTTATAGATGATGATGTATTTAAAAAATTACATATCACAAATTACAAGTTGTGAGATTGTTTGGGGTTAAGGTCTTTTAGCAATAGCGGGGTAATTAGTTAAGGGTAAAAATGGTGCATAGCTTAATTTTTTGTGCCAAAGAAAGTATTTTTAATAAGTGTTTTTGTACGTATGTAGTTTTCTCTTAAACTAACCTTTTGATGTGTCAATAAATTTAATATTGTACTTAAAATTAGTTTATGTATCTTTTCTTTTATTATGATAATTGAGTGAAATGTATGAACGTGGATATTTCCACACTTAAAAGATAATTATAATAAGGTACGTAAATTGCTGATTTTATCCACTTTCATATACGCCTCATTTATAATTCTTTAAATGGTTATTGAAACTTAACTAATATTTCGAGTGTTTATATTTTTTTGTTGCAGGAAGAGACCCCACAAGGATTTTTCGAGGATCACGGGCTCGGTTAATTACTTTTTAGTGTTGATTAATAAAATAAATACTAATACTAGTAATGTACTAAATTATCCACGTATAGTTTATAAAAGGAGAATGTTTTTACATAGTGTTGGCAATAAAATGTTTATCGATTAATCAAAAAAAGAATTAAAAATTTAGTATTATTTTGCTCAACGCTTATTGTAATAATTTTTGTACTTATTTTTTTTAAGTAAATGTATTATTTTCACTCTTATCAATAAATTATAAAACACGGCATTTAAATATTGTGATTATTTTTATTTCTTATATTTATTAGTTAGAATTGCTAAAATAATGCAAAAATAAACAGAGTTGTAATATTTGACTTTTATTAACATTTATGTACATGACGTTTATAATGACATTAACAATAACATGATTCTAACCTACTGTAATGGGGTCACACACTTATTAAATTTAGAGAAAATTTTTACGTAAAACGATATATGCAAGTATATGTATGAACACAAAGTAAACGAAATATTTGGATAAATTTTATATTTTGCGTAATTTGAAGTGGAAAATAGCAACTATTCAAACGAAATAATATCGCGGCTTTTCTGTGACGTAGGGAAGTGCACAGCTGAAACAAGTTAAATTGTCCGTTAGATAGCGCTTGCGGTATGACAGTGTCAAAACAAAACCATGGATGTAATAGAGTGTCTCTATTGCATCCATGAACAAAACATAACGTACAAACACTCTATCTCTTTTCAATACAACCTAAATGACGTTCATCTCTTTCTCGCATTTGAGCGGGGAGCAGAGGACGCAAAGGTGATATGTACGTCATCAACGCGGGAATTTTAAAAGCGCGAATGGGTATATACATTTTAAAAAAAATAACGGTAACTATATTTTTATACAAACTTTCAGAAAATATATTAAAAAAAAATCGTGTATGACCCCATTATTAAAAACACAAATTATTCTTGGATTAAATCCGTGAAAACTTTCCACTCTTTTCTACCAAAACCAAATAGAAACTTTCACTCCTAAAAAAAATCAAAAATGTGTTACAAATTAAGTTTATAAATACCATTATAAAAATCATATCTCCAAGAATAATTGAGATATCAAGATGATAAAGTGGGAAAACCACATTATGTATATATTTTTAGAAGTATTGTTTAGATAACCGCTTGGAAACTAAAGCGCCTGTTTGAACAAGATTTTTCTTGCAATAAAAAAGTAATTTGGTTTAATTACTATTAAATTGATACCCGTGCGACAATAGCAACAAACCTCCCAGCAACAAACTTTTACCCGTAATTTCCTATCTACTTTCTTAGCTGATATCTTCCTTATAATTAGGGATAGCGAAAAACTAAATGCACCACTTGAAAGCTTGAATCTTTCTCTATCTAAAACCGGGGTTTCGTCTGCCGATTCCACAACGTTGGTAATTTTTGGCGCAAAAT